ATTTTAATTTGGGTTTTGGGTTTTGGGTGCTGATTTGGAATGCTTTTGGGGGGTATCGTGTTCGGATGACTTACTTGCGGAAGTGCCGTGTGCCGCGCACGAGGCCGGGCGTGCAGCAGTTGACCGTGACCGAGGTACCTGTGGGGAAAGCGAGTAGGATTCAGAAATCATGAATGCCGGCTCCATCGAAATGAATGCATCAATAATTCACGGTGCAAACTAGGCACTGCAGCGACTGCTTGGACTTTTGCATAAGTCATATTTTGAATAAACAAAAGGCAACATTAAAGTAGCAGGAAGAAAACCTTCAACGAATATTTGAACAAGTTTCGTGAATTGCATTGTGAATTATTGATTTATGGTGGTCCTCCCTAGACACTCACCTTTGAGCTCCTTGGCTAGCCAGCGCGTGGCCAGCAGAACGGCCAGCTTTGAGTGGGCAAAGGCATCACGGGCATGGAACTTGACGGCCCATGTGCCCACATTGAGGGGATCGTCGAAATCGATTTTGGCCGACTGGTGGGCATGGGCGGAGACGTTCACAATGCGCCCCTGCTCGGAGCGCTGGAGGTGTGGCAGCAGCAGCTGTGTCAGCAGAAACGGAGCCAGATAGTTCACCTGGCTGTGCTGCTCAAAGCCATCCGGCGTGGGCAGGTGGGTGTTGGCGAAGACCAGGCCGGCATTGTTGACCAGCACATCGACGCGGTCGAACTCGGCCATCAGCTGGCCAGCAAAGTGGTGGACACTGCGAAACGAGTTGAGGTCCAAGTAGCGCGCCTCCACAAAGTAGCGGTCCGCCGGATTCGTGTCGTCGTCCGGGTAGTAGGGTGTGCGACAGCCGAGCTCCCGCTTGATGACGGCAGCAGCACGCTCGCCGGCCTTCATGTTGCGGCAGGCGAGGATTATGCGACCTCCGCGACCGGCCAGGGCCATGGCTATCTCGTAACCGATGCCGCTGTTCCCGCCACTGATGACGACGATTTGCTCCTTGATTTGATTATCGTTGGGACATCGTTGGCCGCTCATTATGGTCCTGCAATGCGGGTCAAAGCAACACGTTAGTGGCTGTGGGGTGTGGTTTTTGGTTTATGAATGACTGCAATGACATGCAACCGCGTGGTTCTGCATGCTCGAGGATGTGGGCAGTGAGTCTTGGGTTATTGATATGCGTTAATAGAATCAGTTTACTCATTTCCATAAGTGCCTGCGGACCGACTTGGCCAATTCGTTCGTGCAGAACTAATTAGTAAACAAAATTTAAACGTTCAAATTATAAATGTTCATGGCATTTAATTACTATTTAGCGCGTGTAAAACAATTTCGGAAAAATTACCATCTGCTTATATTCATGACTCTTTTAGGAGCTTAATTAGTTCTGGTGTTGTATATTTTTCTTCTGCTGCTAATTACCATCACTATATGTTTCATGTTAAACTAATTATTGAGTTACATTTGGCTAGAAATAATGAGTTGCTGGACACCCAAAGAGCCCTAATTATTCCTGGAAATATTAACACAAAAAGCCCCCCCGCCCAAGAATTTGTCTACCGCAATCGATGCTAGTCAAATTTGTGCGGTCTTCGGTGTTTTTTTTGTTCACTTTTCAGATAGTTGCATCGTTCGTTCGTTCCACTTCATTTGGCTGAGACTTATTTTGGCACTTAGCTGCCAGTTCTGAGCCCCCACCCCAACCACTTTTTGGTCTCTCATTTCGGAATTCATTTGGCATTTCATTTACTTTGAGGCAAACTTGCACAAATCCACTTTGTAAATATTTTGTGGATGGGCATGGACTGCAGGGGGCCACATGCCAACCAGACCCGCATCCGCATTCGCGTCTCCATCCGTCTTTGGCTTACGCTAGCACCTGCAATGGTGCAGGCGTATGGGCAGGGGGCAAGCGCTGTATGAGGGGTCACAAAAACCGCTATGCTTTGAGCGCGCAACGGGGAACAAAAAAGAAATGAAAATAATCTTTAGATATTACATATTATCCGACCCTTCTTCGCTCTCTCCATCTCCATCTTTCTGGTTTCCGTGTCTCTGCTCTCACCCGCTATCTCTTTATGAAATCCACTTAAAAAGTTTGCCGCGAGTGGCGGGAGTTTTTACTGGGGCTGCTGCGACATTTATTTACGTGTGTCCAAGGGTAAAGTTTTTATTCCCCGCCAGCGGGGGCTTGTGCTGAATTGGGTTGTGGACGGGGGCTGTGGTCTGTGGGGTGGGGCACTGGGCAAACAGTTTCCGTTGACCCATCGCACTCACCGCACTGTAATCACGAGGCCCACCGCGAGGGCCGCTATCGTGGGCCACCACGTGGAGAATGGATCCGCCTCCTCGAACATGGTCAACAGTCGTTCCATCCTGGCAGTTCTGTTCTCCTTTCCTCCGCTTCTTATGCACTTATGACTGCTCTCCTTTGCCTCGTTCTCTTTCTGTCACTGGCTGCCCTTTCTTTTCCTGTCTTCCTGTGTTACTGCCGCCGCTCTTTATTGATGAATGAATCTGTGACTCGACTGTCGGTTGTCGTCTGCACTGCACAAATGTTGATCGCGAACTGAACGGGAATTGTAGCTATAAATATAAATTCTCATTGCGTGGTCTCCCCACTGTCCACTCCATGCATCCGTTTGTATGTGTGTGGGTACCCGCACCCGCACTTCTGCTGCTGCTGCTGCACGTTACTTATTCAGCCGGAAGAACTGGCCATACCCAAGGGATTCCACGCTTAAGTGCTGTACGTTTAATAATCCAAATCGTCGGTGAAAAAAGTTTCGTTTTTACATTACCTTAAGGGCAGATTACCAAAGCAGAGCAGAGCAGAAGATGCTGCTGACAATTGAATTTAAATGTCCCCCCGAAAACCCACACCTCTGGATGGGATTTCGCTGCCGCCCGCTCCCTCGCTCCCTCTCCCGAAACGTCACCGGCATATTTTCAATTTACATAAATGCTTGTTGCGCGGCATACAAAACGAGCGTTAGAACGAGATGGCTAGAGATAGCGGGACTCTGCTATGCTCCAACCTACCTGTCGCCGCTCTTTGGGTTATGTGCAAATTTGCACAAGCCGCAATAAAGCCTGGGAGATGGAGAGGAAGAGATAGAAAAAGAGTCAGAGTTGGTGAGGAGAAATTCTGTTCGCTATTTACACACGTTTTCCATTTTTTAATTTGTGCTCTCATTTCGTTGCTTTTCTTCCGACAATTTTTCTGCGGTTTTACGCATTCAGTGTGCATACTTTTGTGTGTAGACTAATGTAATTCAATTAATCTTCCGGCGCAGTCGGCTCCCAGTGCCCTTCTCTTCCATCTCCCTTTCGTAGTGTACTTTGGTCAGACTGCGTGGCCACAAATTTTAATTACCGTTTAACAACTGTTGGTGCAGAGCATCAGCAGAGTGAGTGTCAGCGAGTGCAGGGGAATGGTTTGTGATTTTGTATGAAAGGGATGGAAAGGATGACATGCGTTTGGTTTATTGTGAAAGCTTTTCCTTTGCATCCGGAAACATGACTTACAATGAAAATTCTCTTACTTAACACTAACGTCGGTTGATACTTGAAAAATGCAACCAACATTATTCTTTTATTCGTTGATAATAAATTGAACTAATGAATAATTGTTTCTTCTTTTAAATCCAATTAAAAATTATTCCTATATGAAAATGTGGTACCTTTGTTGTCTGTTAAGGGATAATTAAAACATATAAAATAATTACACTGTTGTCAATGTTTTCATTTAATTATGTTTTTCCATCGAGTCAAGTCAAGGGTTTCTCATGCAGCGAGCAAATGCACATAGTATGTACATATGTATATATATGTACATATTTACAGACTTTTGTTCATTAACTTTTAATTTTTCTCACGTCCACTTGTTTACCGTTAAAACACGGGTTCCTTTACATGCTCCACCAAACAATGTTCAATTTTAAATGGCAAACACTCTTGAGTATATTAAAATAATTTATTATGCATAAAAAATATCGGTATCATTCGTTGCGCATGGAGACATGAAATATACTTGCGAATAAAAAGTTATGCTTAAAGTATGACAATAAATGATAAAACAATAATTGCTTAACCACCGTAAAAAATGGTTTGAGTTATGAACATCAGAAATACGCTGGTCCATTCAGCCAGAAGTATGTGCTGATACAAAAATTCTTAAAGAAATATACTCAAAAATGTTGTTTTATCCCTGAACTTTCAATGCAAGTTTTGCATGTACATCGACCTTTCGGTTCATAGATAGATGCTTAACATAACGTAGTCATCGCATAATTCTCTAAATAGAAATGACACGACATTTCATAGCATTGTGAAATTCGATAGAGGGAACAGTATTCACAGTCACTGACAGCCCCTCGATGCCATTCCATTCCTCGCCGCTGATTCGGACTCACCCTTTCAATTACTACGCATCCATTGCGCTCATGCAGTACGCGTACTTTCCAGTAATTTAGTTGGAATACACATAGTTGATGACCCCCATAGAGACGACAATGCACTCGGTGCAGTCTGCGCTTCCATATCCGGCATACCAATTGATGGAGCGAACCGGAGTACAGCGTAGAGTCAGCCCCGACCCAACCAGCATCCGAATGAGATTCTCCCAGCTGGAAATAAATGAAATTGCACACACAAATGGATCCGTATATATGCTTAAATGCTTTTGTTATATTTTCTGTTCGTTTATTTAACGTTTCTTCAATTTACATACTCTCGTATCTAGTGTCGCTTATTGGTTTGCCGAATTTGCATTTTTATTTCGCGTTGCATTTCGTTCTTCATCTTTCGTTCTCGTTCTCGTTTTCATTTTCATTGTTTTATTTAGTTTTGTTCTCTGTGTTCTGTTGCTTAGTCATTTGCTTTAGTTAGTTTGCTTTTGCTCAGACAGTTGTTGTTTTTGTCGTTCATAAATATGTAATGCTAATTGGTAAATTGTTTCAGATATTATGCTTTCCGCATTGATGTGCGTGTTTTCCATACATAAATGTGTGTGTAGTTTTTATGTTTTTTTTTTCGTTAGATTTGCTTGGAACTTGTTTACTTTTATGCTGCAAAAGAGTCTCCTCTGGCGAGAGTGTGTGCATGATTGTGTGTGTGTGTGTGTGGTTTCCTATGTATGCATGGCTTCATGTAGGTACAGTGCGTTTCAGAGCAAGAAGCATGCGGAAATCGATATGGTACTTAGTTGTGGAAACATTTGAGGAACTACTGCAAATTATTTGTTTAAACTGAGTTGCAAATTAGAGCTGAAACCAATAGTTTTAAAATGTTGAAAATATGATTTCACTTATCAAAAAATGTTCACATAACTTTGATGTTCTATTATGCAGTTTCAGTCATCGATTTGAATCACTAAATCTCAAAGAACTTTTTACATTTTTACATGCTCCTACATTTCTGAAACGCACTGTCTTGGGGTGTATGCATCTTAATTGGTATTTCGTGTGGCGAGTTGTCCTATAAATAGCTAAAGCAGCCTAACCGTACTTGATGTGTGTGTGTGTGTGGAAATATATGCAACTCTATTTACAGATGAAATCGAATTCGCTTTCGTAACAAAGGAAATTTATGTAGAGTTCCGATAACAATGTAAACGCCAAGTATTATCAAACATGGTTTTGTTTTTTTTTGTTATTTTTTTCATTCATTTAAAATTAGTATCACTAACAAGCTTTTGTTTTATATTTAATAATTTCTATCATCAGAGGTGGAGTGGGTGTGGAGGAAAGTCAAGTGTCCTTTGTCTGCCTTTTCACTCGCGTGTCCTCTCTCTCTCCCTCTCTCGCTCTCTGGTCTACATTAGTTCAGTGTGGTGTGTGTGTGTGTGTGTGTGTTGTGTGTTTTAGGTTAGATCCTGCCGCTAAATATAAAGTTTTACTTTTGCTTGGTCGTCAATTGTATAAGTAAGTTTATGCATAGGCAAAGCATTTTGTGGTATCTACATATACACCATAAATGTAGTTATATATCTACATGACTAACCCGAAGAATTCTATCCAATTTTCAATTTTCACTTTTTATACAATTTCAAAATGGTTTCGTTTTTCTCTGCTTTAGTGTGGGAGAACTGAGAAGTGTTTTGTGTGTCTGTGAGTTTTAGCTACTTAGAACCTAGGCTTAAGTAAAGCAATCTGTGACAGTCACGCCCATCGACACAGCCCGCCCCCACAGAGTTCCTAGTTGCATACATTTCTATATATAAATGATTTACTCGTTTACTTGCTAGGAATTGTAAATTTTATGCTACATAAATCCGAAAAGGACAATCAAAATAATCTCTCGAATATTTACAGCGGGCTCAGTGTGAGGTGGGGTTGGGGTTGGGGTTGGGGTTGGATTTGGGGACACTGTCATTGGGGGGATATGTGAGAGCAACTACCAGGGCGCCTATCATCATGCTCATTCTCATACTCATCTGCATGCTAAACTGGAAAAATGTTTTGCAATATTTTTGTGTGAATAAATTTCATTCCATTCTTGTTGCTGCTTTTGGAAAATTGTTTTTCTGGCTTCGTTGATGTCCAACTTTTGATGGTGACAACTTTTTTATAGCCTCTCTGCTCTCTGCCTCTCTGCCTCTCTGCTCGTTATTGTTATTAATAATTTATTGATACAACAATCTGTGATATCTTAGAATCGTACCCGTGCCATGCTATATTTATTTATTTATTCATTTTTAGTTTTCATCCTCGTTTGCTCGGGAAGTTCTCTCTCTCTCTCTCTCTCTCTCTGTGTGTGTGTGTACGAGTATGTTTGTTTGTTTCTATATAATTTAATAGTAATGTGTGTGGGCATGGAATATACTAAGCTACATACAAATTGCTCCGATGCTCAGTGCTCCCCCTTTGATACATAGTTGCGGGCTTTCAATTTGTTGTGGGTTCCTCTGCTGCTGCTGCTGCTGCTGCTGGTTCTAGTTTCTGTTGCCTTCACATCGCTGATATAAGGGCCATATAATCTGCAAATATAGCGAAGCGAACAAATATGAAAATTCGATTAGCGGTTCTCAATTCAGCGGCATGGCAAATACATTATTCAACGGTCAGTCAATGCCAACTCCACTCGATTGAATCGAGTCCTTTCATTGCATATTTTAGTGTATGGAAACACAAAGTCCGTGGTCAAATTGTGGCACGAATCGATTGATAGGAGGACTACAATATTTATTTAGACAGAGGTCACTCTGTTTCTATATTTATTGTTTGGATATAGTGCTGCAAATTGTATTCAAATTCGGAATTGAATTGGGTGTCTTGGGGATGCATAAATTAAATTCAAGTTGCGGGTTGAATTGTGAAGTGGAAAAAGTTGCAACTAGTTAGAGAATTTATCTACTTCTGGGGAGAATTATCATACAATTTGGGGTGAATGGGAAAGTTTACTCTTTAGACTAGCAAATCAAAAGCCAATTATATGCCAAGCACCCAAGTTCAAGTATGGGTAATTCCTAGCTCTAGTACGCATAAATAAATACATAAAAGCTTCCAATGTAATGTGCCAAAAAACCCAATTTGTCCAGATAATGACACAGCATAGGAGCACAATTTTATATCAAAATGAACACTTCTGCTATCGGTTCAACTACATCTGCAAACATTTATAAAGTAGCTTCTTGTGTTTACGTACATAATCATTGTGCCATGCCGAACTAACAATATTTAATGGGTTAAATAAATTTAGTTCATGGCACCCAAATTAATGAACTTTCGCCAGCAATTAGCTCTTATAAATTTATTACATAATGCATGCGAGCAATTTCTGATAATGCGAATTTGGGGGCGTGGGGCAGCCCACAAACGCTCAACCCTGGGGCTGGCCCTGCCACAGTCAATGCCATTAGCTCTCAACACTTGCTGGGCTCTGGTTCAGACTCATTTTGGATAATGGACCATTCAGTTATTTGTTATTAGCCCAAATGGGCATTCAGCAAACCTAAAACCCGTCCAAAAATATGGCATCACTCGGGGAGGGGGCAGTGACCAACTGTAAGTAGCACTTCCAAGCAGAATCCAATCGATTTTAATAGTTACAACCCAAAAGGTTTACTCAAGGGAATAGCAGCGGGTCTGCAGCTACATAGGTATGTAAGGACGGTGCGTATCAAAAGTATAAGTACATACATATGTAAATAATTATACTCGTGTGCCATTTCATATTTTATGGATGTATTTTGTTGTCAAATTTGATGGAAAAGGAACAAATATTTAGTCAACAATTTTTTTTACAATTCGAGTAACTTCTTGGATGGCTGTCTCCCCATTCTAATAATTGACTTCCAAGTTATAGAACCTTTACAACCTTTTGCGAGACTCGTAAGATTAAACTCAACACTCGACTTATTCATCTGCCTTTTTTTGCAACATTTTTACCAACCTCTAAGACCATCACTTTTTAGTGTCCTAAACTTTCGCAACGCACTGTAGGCCCATGGTGAGCTGTGACTAGTCTGGGGCTGACAATTTTTTAATCAACACAAGTCGGGCAGCAGCAACAACCGGCACTGGGCAAATACTCAACGAGCAAATGCAAAATATTCTCCATGACCATTTTGGCACGTGCTAGCCTGCCGCTGTTGTAGCTGTTGTTGTTGTTGTGTGTTGTTGTTGTTGCTGGTGATTGTGTGAACCTTGATTAACGCAACAGGAGATGGAATGGGAAGGGTATGATGGGGGAGGGCGGCAACATCAGCGTTGGGAATATTGTTGCTGTTTGCCAAATCTCTTGGCGCTGCCTCTCTAAATTTTAACTATGAATGTCCTGGGCTACCCAGTCCCAGTGCCAGTGCTCCTACAACAGTAACAAAATGAATGTGTGGTTATGTCTGTGTGTGTTTGTGTGTGTGTTTCTATGTGAGTGCTGCGGCTGCTTGTGTGTGTGCAAGTTGGCAGTAAAATTTGTTTACCAAAACCTTCTTAGCTTGGCTTAGTAGCCCCGCACCGCCATTGTTTGTGTATTTGCATTTCGGCTCCTCTAGTGCCTTGTGTCCCAGGCCCCTACCCAACCCCACCCCTTTGTTGGTTGCTCTTCGGCGGGGTGTGAAATTTCATGCATATATGTATCTATGAGTTACAGTGCGGGTGTGAGTGTGGGTGCGGGTGATGGTGCGGGGTGCGGCTGTGTATGTGGGTGGCTGGTTAGACTGTTTCGTGGAAGAGTTCGTGCCTCGCCTTTGGCCTTTTTGCAGCTTTTACTTTTTTCCCCGGCTTTTGTTTGTCTTGCTGTTGTTGTTGCTTTTGTTTGCTGATTCCACTCTTCCGCCCTCGCTGTTTCTACTTCCACTTTCCCACTGTTGCTGCTTCCACTGCCGCTGCTCCCACTATCGCAGTTGCTGCTCCCACTGTCCCACTCTCTCACTGTCGCTGCTCCAACTCTCCCACTGTTCCACTGTCCCTCTGTTGCTGCTGCTCTCCCAGTCACGCTGTTGCTGCTCGCTCTGCGGCTGTTGCTGCTGCTCTCCCTGTCCCGCTGTTGCTGCTCGCTCTGCGGCTGTTGCTGTTGCTCTCCCTGTCCCGCTGTTGCTGCTCGCTCTGCTGCTGCTCTCACTGTCCCGTTGTCCCACTGCCGTTGTTGCTCCTCCTTTGCTTTGACCAGATCGGACTCGAAACGGCGACACATTCAAATATCTCAGCGGGTGAAATGTAAATCGTTTTACCGTTTCCCATTACCATTCTTTAGGTAGCTGGGAAAAGCAATTGAGCTTATGCCGAAAGCGCAACAGGCAGGTCTCGTTGAACTTAAATCTCATATTAATTCGTATTTATATTCAAAACCCAAGCAACAAGTTGCTCGCACATCTGTAGCTTTGTGATTTATAAAATTCAATAACTATTGAATACTCTCGTAGTTAGGGTACAACTGTAACGGGTTCCAACCCTTTTAGGTTCCATTCTTTATTGTTATTGCTAGAATTTTATATGCCACCACAGAAAGAGGCAGCAGCTGCGAGCGGTAGAGACAGGGACAGGGCAGGGCGGTAGAGGCAGAGACTGGGACTGGAACTGGAACAGGCAGAAGTTGGGACAGGGACAGCGAGAATTATATGAAGCCACAGCCGCAGCCCAGGCACAGTGGGTGAAAGCTGAAATATCGCACCAACTATTGTGTGTGTGTGTCCCGGCAGGCAACCGCAACGTGTTATGCAAATCTGGCAGCAGCCGTGACAGTGGAGCTGGAGGTGAGGCCCCGGCCATGTGTTGGCATTTGTATTGCCATGAGGCTCAGTTGACCAGCTGCAGCCCCAACCGTGGCTTTAAAAAACAATTTAGAAGCTTTTGGCTCAGCTTTGCTTTTTCCTTGGTCGGCACTTTTTTCGCCAGCCACCACTATTTGATTCACTCAAAATGTTAATTTAAATTGCAAAAAAAACTCCATTGTTTCGTGCTCATTGTTCTTTTCATGTTTACCTGCCATCTTTTCTTTCTTTTTCGTTTTCTTTTTTGTTAGTTGCCTTTTGCGCTTTCCTCAATTAGCATTTTTCGAGCGTAGGCATAAAGGGGTCAAGCTGGGGGAGTGCCAGGAGCTTGTCGCATTAAAAATGATATCCTAAGTAGATTGTGCAAATTGCTAGCAATTAGATTTAATAGCTCGTTCAAGTGGGTCGTTCATAAGCGGGGGAGCGATAAAGAGAGAGCTTTGAGCGAGCGATGGGTTCGCTCTTGAGGTTCTCCCTTTTCCATTCGCAACTCAAAGCAAATGGCAAAGCAAATCGGTCAAGAGCACAACAAGACTCAAAGCCAATAGAAATGGACAGCAAAAGGATGACGCGCCTTCAAACTGTGCATTCAAAGGCTGGTCCCAATGCAAGACGAAAGATAGAGCCAGTCCTGCCCTCGCTTTTTAGGCTATGAAAATGAGAGTTTATATGCCAGCCACAGCCAACGGTGGCATAAAAAGCGAATAAAAAGCGTAGTTTCTGTTTATTTCTAGTGCGCATGAAATTCTTCTTTCAACTTAGGGCTGTAAAATTCTTAAAACTCAAGACTATGAGATGCTGCTTTAAAGTGGAAGTTCCTATGTCTCTTTGGCCTCTAACACTTAAAAAAGTTCAACCAATTCTCGACCGGAATCAAATTTGTACAATTTTACATTTAATTTCAGTTTTGATCACTCTTCCCTTAGCTCTAAGTAAACAGAAAGCGCACGGAAAGTGCCAAGGAAACTCCAAGTTAATCCAAAACTTCCGCCAATTAGCAATTAAATGCATGAAGTTGCGGAAGACAAAAACCTCCAGCAGAAAGTTCCCCCACATAACAAGTGAAGCACATGTCCAATCACTTGTGCCATTTTGTGGCCCAATCAAAGTTTCTATGGTGCTTGAGGGGATAAAAAAAAAGAAAACCCAAAAACAAAAACTGGAAAAACACTGAAAAGTTGAAGAACTTTTGGCCGATGCCTCATCGTAGAATTCATCGACGGTCTCCGGCCACAAAACAATCAAAGAGGGGCCCCAGCTGTGTGCCAAGGGGCGTGGCTAGTACACGCACACATATTCCAGGCCAAAGGGGGCTGGAAAGGGTTGGCAAACAATAACTTCAATTATGAATATTTCAGGCAGCAGCAGGAAAGAGTTGGAACACGCTCAAGCAGCAGGAAAAGGACAAAGTTTGCTTCGTTTGGGGCAAGGAGAGGAAACTTTGTGACTGCTCGGCTGAGGTGAGGACAGGTCAGAAGGAATTGACTTTGATCTTGGTGCTGGTGTTGGTGTTGGTGTTGGTCCGGTGCCACCGGGGCCATGTCCTTTGCCGGTGTCTCTGACTGGAGTAGGAGCTGCTCTGGCTCTTGCTCTGCCTTTGTTTGCGTTTCAAACGCAACTTAACTGGCTCCCTGGAAGGAAGGAAGGAAGGTTGAAAATTGAACAAACAGCTCCTTCAGATGTCCTCTGGCTGGGCAGTGGTGGGTGTGCGACAATTAAATTGACTTTGCGCCTGGTTTAATAAGCATAATAAGCCCGTTGGCCGG